ACCACCTGTATGTGAAATTAAAGCTCTTCCTTCTATAACAGACAACTGTCAAAAGGAGAAAAATGACTTTCAAGTCAAGAAGGATTTAATTATGTCCCTGAGTGTAGAAGAACTTTGGAAAATAGAGGAAACTTGCAGATTCCATTATAAAAAGGCAATCCACATATAATGAAAACTGTGTTCCCAGAAATTTAGTTTGTGAGGAAGAGAGATTTATGTAAGAGAACAGGGGACCTCTAGGAGGAAACTTCCATATGATATGATTATTATTGTTTTCATTAGCTATTAGGTACTTTCTGAAGACATGGAATTAATATAATTCACATTTAGTCACTTTGTCAGGGCAGATACAAAGACTGTTGCAGAATGCTATCTGAAAATTTCACCTCTGTGGCATTCCAGCTGTACACATCTCTCTCAAATAACCAATTTCACATGAATAGACACAGACATTTTGCCCAACATGGCATGTCTAACCCATTACTGCAGGATGAATGATACTCTGTAATTCTCCCCTGGGGCTGTTGGATGGAATAGATGACTTCCCTAAATTTGCTGTATTCCAAGAAGTCTTTATATTCCTAGGTTTCACAGATATTAAATCCCAAAGTAATATTGATGCTGAAGGAAAAGCAAATTATCACAACTCTGGAGATTTTAATGATATCTGCATGTTGCAACTCTTTTGTTTTGTTTTGGTATGGAGTTTTGTTCTTGTTGCCTAGGCTGGAATGCAGTGGCACCATCTCAGCTCACTGCAACCTCCACTTCCTGGGTTCAAGCAATTCTCCTGCCTCAGCCTTCTGAGTAGGTGGGATTACAGGCACTTGCCACCATGCCTGGCTAATTTTTTGTATTTTCTGTAGAAACAGGGTTTCATCATGTTGGTCAGGCTGGTCTCGAACTCTTGACCTCAACTGATCCACCCTTCACAGCCTTCCAAAGTGTAGAGATTACAGTCATGAGCCACCGCGCCTGGCTTGCAGGTTGCAACTGTTCACTGTGAAAGGCATCATAAAATCTTCCTATATGACGTAAAAAACTGATGAATTGGCTGTATGCAGTAGCTCACACCTGTAATCCCAGCACTTTGGGAGGCCAAGGTGGGTGGATCACCTGAGGTCAGGAGTTCGAGACCAGCCTGCCCAATATGGTGAAACCCCGTTTCCATTAAAAATACAAAAATTAGCTGGGTATGGTGGTGGGTGCATACAGTCCCAGCTACTCTGGAGGCTGAGACAGGAGAATTGCTTGAACCCAGGAGGCGGAAGTTGTAGCAAACTGAGATCGTGCAACTGCACTGCAGCCTGGGTGACAGAGTAAGACTTCGTCTTAAAACAAACAAAAAACTGATCAATTTTTGGATACACTGATTTGACCCATCCTCACTGAGCCTGTTCTTATTCCTCAAATCTGTACCACATACTATTGTTAGATGAATTTTTCTTGAATATTGTTTTCATTATGTTCTTTTGTTTACAACTGCCAATGACATTTTCTGACAGAATTAAATCTGAATGCATCTGTCTAGCTTTTAAGATCTTTCTGAACCCCAGATGCTTGTTAGACTGCTCTCCTCACTGTCCTACATCCTCACCAACTGCTCCTCTGTAGCTCTTTTCACCTAGAATTCCTTTCATTCATTCACTTCATATGTTTACCATGCAGCTGTAGTAAATAGAGGGGATTTATGCAAAGTCTCTGCTATCTAAAAACTCGATGTCTAATGGGGGAGATAAACAAGGAAGGGGCTGAGATAAGTAGATATAAATTCTACTATGAGAATACATGTAGTGAAGTGGGAAGTATAAATGAGCAGTGAAGGCTTCCCAGAGAAAGTACTGTCTAATCAATGACCAGACAGACAGGAGAAGTGAGCCAGATAGAGAGGGGTAACACGAGGTGGGTAAGACAGATCCCTTTAGAGAGAATCTCATTCTGCCATTCAAATTCATCCTAAAGGTCTAATTCAAGTCTTATCTTCTGATCAGGCTTTTTCAGTGGTCTCTTGATTGACCTCATAGGAAATGTATAGTTTTCCTTTCTATCTTTTCGCTGGTAAACGTCCCAGGGCTCTCCTCACTTTTGGTGGCCAGCTGATAATAGTGTTTGGAGAGGAGGAGACACAGCCCCGTTAGGTTTGGGCCTAATTCACATGTTAAGTCTGGTTCATCAGATGTTATGGGCATAAATCCATAGTGGCACCTTTTTTTCTTTTCTTTTTTTTTTTTTTTTTTTTGAGACAAAGTTTCACTCTTATTTCTCAGGTTGGAGTGCAATGGCACCATCTCGGCTCACCGCAACCTCTGCCCCCAGGGTTCAAGTAATTTGCCTCAGTCTCTGGAGTAGCTGAGATTACAGGCATGCACGACCACACCTGGCTAATTTTGTATTTTTTAGTAGAGACAGGGTTTCTTGATGTTGGTCAGGCTAGACTCGAACTCCTGACCTCAGCTGATGCTTCCACCTCAGCCTCTTAAAGTCCTGGGATTACAGGCGTGAGCCACCGGGCCCAGTCTGATACCTTATTTTCCATTTGGTTGTTTATGCATTTCTTTAGAAACCTTTCAGAGGGAGGATCCCAGATTTGGGGTGGGATTTGGTCATTCCTGGGTGCCTTAGTCAAATGCCATACAACAGCACCCCTTAAACTGCAGTCAGACGTGTAACATTTCCGCTTATTTCAAGCTGTTTTTGAGTGAGAAATCCAGAAGTAAAAGGTTCGTTAATCCTCTAGTGTCTTCTCCTTTCCTTAAAGTCTGTATTGTCATGCTCCTTCTCATTAAGCACAGCTGCTAGGCAGCTGCTGGAAGCAGCCACAAGAATTCAGGGCTAGCCTGTGGCCTAACACAAAGAACAGCTGTTCATTAAACATTCACTGCACGGTGGTAAACGCAGAGCACAAGTTTTCAGGGGATGACAGCAGAAAAAAACAAAAGTGCAGGTGAAGAAGGGGATCAGAGTATTTTTTCAAGCCTCTTCTCAGGTGGCAGATGACTGATTCTAAAAAGGGAGTTCCCATTTTACTTCCAGAAAGTCTAAACAAAAGAAACAACACAGGATGCCTCATTTTTCTCATTAGGAACATTAAATCAATTTCATTATGCTTCAGGACATTCAGTTATCCTCTGCTCAAAGCTAAAAATATCAGTTTGCTTTTCTAAAGTGAATTGTTATACTTTGCCATTTGATATGGAATCACCCAATGCAGTGAAAACAGGAAGTTTATGTTGTAAAGAATGCTTCACAGATCCATTGAAGAGTACTTCCCTGTGTTTATCAGCTGCATGGGCTCATTAGATCCTGGAATTACAGGCTTTTTTGTTAGAATTTGGTGGTGCTCACTCATTTTGACATTGTAAACATGGTTGAAAATTCCAGTATTTTGGAGATGTCCTAATAATTATGTATCAGTTAATTTGTTCAGAAAAACCGGTCCTACAGGGTAGTCTATTATTAGCCTGTTCTGAAAACTTACTATTTGCTTCTCTCTAATTTAAGATGTAAAAGTTAAATAAAGCATATCTATAAGTTTAAAGTAACACATCAGCCAAAATATGCCCCAGGAGCAGGAGTTTTGCAAGCTTCTCTAGTTTGCACGGTATAAGCAATGACAACTCAGAAAAATAATTATTGGCTGGGATTACCTTGATGTCTTCCTTAAACATTTTTAGTATCGGTCTCTCTTAAGCATCAGTGCTTTTATTTATATAGCTATTGCAATATGACCACTTATTTTCTCAGTGATACCTATGGTGGCCTTGAATTTTGAAATAATTCCCATCATTCACTTTTCTCCATTTCCTGAAATAATTAGGCTTACTGAATTCTCAGGTCTCCCCAGTGAATCCAGGTTCATGTAGTCTGTAAGGATCTTTCCCATCCTTTCCACATTTTCAAACTATAATAAATTAACAATGAAGCGGCTGAGATAAGTAGATGTAAATAGAGGGCACTGTGGAAATACATGGTAGTGAAGTGGAGGTATGAATGAGCAGTGAAAGCTTCCCAGAGAAATACTATCCAATCAGTGAGTGACCAGGCAACCAAGGAGAAGTATGATGAGAGGTGGGGAACAGAAGGTGGGTGAGACAGATCCCACTAAAGAGATTCTCATTTGGCCATTCTAATTCAAACTAAAGGTCCGATTCAAGTCTTGTCTTCCCATAAGGCTTTTGCACTGGTCTCTTGATTTTGCAAGGCAAGCTTAAATACAGAAAATCCACAAAATTGACTTTCTCATCCTTCCATCCCTCTATCCATATTTAATCTTTTACTATTCTGAAAACCACTGGCAATGTATTTCCGCTTCTCTATGGTATTTATTATCACTTTGTTCCTTGCAGCATAGTTTTTGTGTTCATGTCTTTGTTATATAACAGACATAGGCCTCCTTAAGGATTCAAATTATGTTAAATTATCTTTATATTATTCACACTCTTTTAAAGCCTTCTCCATAAACTGAATTTTCAATTAAAATTTGTTGACTAGTCCAGACTTGGTGGCTCACACCTATAATCCCAGCACTTTGGGAGGCAGAGGCAGGTGGATCACCTGAGGTTGGGAATTCAAGACCAGCCTGGCCAACACAGTGAAACTCTGTATCTACTAAAAAATACAATAAAGTAGCTGGGCCTGGTGGCCTACACCTGTAATCCCAGCTAATCGGGAGGCCGAGGCACAAGAATCACTTGAACCGGGGAGGCAGAGTTTACAGTGAGCCAAGAACATGCCACTGCACTCCAGTCTGGGTGACAGAGTGAGACTCCATCTCTAAATAAATAAAGTTGACTAAATGACTGACAGTAAAAGAAAAAAAATGGAATGATCCTTTTAGAGGCAAATAATAAGGCAAGCAACCAGTGGAGGTCACTGTCATTCTTTTAAAATATACCAATTCTCAATTTTACTTTTTAGTAATATAAGTGCAATGCCTCTCAATCGTTTTTTCATGAACATAGAGTCACTAAACAGACATCAGATGAAAACATTTAAGTTGCCTTTCTTGACGTGTTTGCTCCTCAGTAGTTTCCATAGCACATTCCAGTGAATTCTGGAGAGACTGCAGCTGATTCAGGGTCTCCTTCAATAAAAATCGAGTTACAAATTGTTCCAAATTGGAGGCTTCTTGGTAGTCCTAAGGGTGACAAAACAAATGCAATTAGAAGTATGGTAGAAAAAAAAATACCCAGGAATGTCTTTTTTACCATGTACCCATCAATCCTCGATTGATCCTAGAGAGGAAGGGTGAAGAGAGGAGAAAAGATCTGTTGAGCCCTGGAGGCTACAGCATAGCTCTCATTCACCCACCAGGAGATGAATAAAAAAGCTGCAGAAGTGACTGGAATATCTCACCTCCCATTGTCCGTGCCTCAAGATTAAGAAAAAGAACAAAGCCAGCAGACTGCAAAACAGACATCTGTAGAAAAGAAAAAATAAATATCTGGGGATAAAAAAAGATCAGAACGTGACTGACTCAGGTTTGTTCTATGTTTCATTTGAATGCTGACCATGCCATCATATATTTTCTCTATAACCAACAAAGTGCAGCCACGTTTCAGCAATCGGCTTAATCACTCTTGATGTATTTATTATGCTTGATCCATATTATGCTGAAGACAAAGAAAATTATGTGTAGTTATTTAAAATTCAGAAAGTGTTAGGCTTGGAATATTTAAATAGTTTACTAAATCTGCTTATGTCTCTCCCTCAGCAACTTTACCTGAGGCTCATTGACAACTAACTTCTAGGACAACACCTGAGCCACAAAAGCAGCATTCACTGAATCAGCCTCCAGGTCTGCACAGAGGTCACTGCACACTTAGTAAGTGCACTTGCCAAGCTTACTCAAGGTAGATGGGTGATCTGTGAATGGTGCCACCTGCTGTGCTTATCTTTTAAAGTCTCAGGGAAAATCAACAAAGAAAACCAGGTTAGTGTGAAATAACATGATGACAGGGCCACTCTTTCAGGTCATGTGACCAGCTGGTAACCTCTGATTTTCTAGAGTCTTGAGTGGGATGGTATATTCAAGTTCAGCCAAGGAAAAAATTTGTCTCTGTCCCTAAACAAAAATTTTTTGTGACTGAAAATACAAAACACCAAAGGACTGAGGGTGATAATACCACGAATCATGATGTTCTAAAGAAGATTATGCCATAGTTATAAATCCAAACAAATAAGAGTTAGGTATCTAACCTTCCTGGTTCTCAGCTTTCCCACTTGTAAGTCACTAAGCAACTCTGGTGTACATTCCAACTCAAAAATATTCTGTGCTTCTATCAACTCTAATTTAGGAAGTATTGGACTATGGCCTCCTGATATAATTTACTTTGGATGTTTTTCTAATAGAAGAATAAGTTAATAGCATAGAAAACCTCATTTCCTTCTCAATTTGAAATAGTAAAAGGTTTCAATCATCAGCCTCTTTTAAAGCCCATTCATTACAGGTGAATTAATACTGAGTGTCAACTTGATTGGATTGAAGGATGCACAGTATTGTCCCTGGGTGTGTCTGTGAGGGTGCTGCCAAAGGAGATTAACAGTTGAGTCAGTGGACTATGAGAGACAGACCCACCCTCAATCTGGGTGGGCATCACCTAATCAGCTGCCAGCATGGCTAGAACAAAGCAGGCGGAAGAAGATGGAAGAGCAGACTTGCTGCATCTTTTGGCCTTCATCTTTCTCCTGTGCTGGATGCTTCCTGACCTTCAACATCAGACTCCAAGTTCTTCAGCTTTTGGACTCTTGGACTTAAACCAAGAGTTTGCCAGGGGCCGTGGGGCATTTGGCCACAGACTGAAGGCTGGATTGTTGGCTTCCCTACTTTTGAGGTTTTGGGACTCAGACTAATCCACCACTGGCTTCCTTGCTCCTCAACTTGCAGACGGCCTATGTGGGACTTTACTGAGTGATCATGTGGTGTGAATTGATTCTCCTTAATAAACTCCCTGCATGTAAATATCTATCCTATTAGTTCTGTCCCTCTAGAGAACCCTGACTAATACATCTATCATATGAAATAGTCCTATTTAAAAATTAAAAATTGCAATGTCTTCAAACTCCATTTAAGAAACTAACCATAAAACAAAACATTACATGTTTATAATAATCCGAAGAATTTTGGGTGAGTTAAATAAAGCTAAAAGTATTCCAAATATTTAATTTGATTTCATAGCTTGCTCTTTATTGGTTTAAAAGAAAACTTCAAAAATTCTCTCTGAATGAGTTTTTAAAATTGAGGAAGGCTTTTCTTTGAGGTTCAAAGAAAATTTGATGATAGAAAAAAAGGTGTGTTTGAGTCTTTTCCCAGTTATTTCTGTATTGCCAGTGCATATTTTAGAAATAAAATTTATTAAAATTAAGACAAAATATAATTGCAAAGTCAAGGATTATGCCAATTATTTTTGCATCTCAGTGTATATTAATTTGATTTATAACTAATGTAAATCAAATGATAAAAAGTTTTATACTTATTTGTAGACCACATTAAAAAATGAAGGAGTCATACATTTACTGAACAATAAAGCATAATATTGGCCTTATTCTTTTCTCATTTAAATGTTAAATATTTGTCATGTCAGTATTATAGAAAAGAGATTTTAAAATTATAGTTAGCCATTTTAAACGCTTCAGTCATTGCAATTAGGTTTCAGCTTCTTTGACAGAAAGGTCACATCTTTTATTTCTGTGTCCCTTATGGTAGAGCAGATGTTCGTTCATACCTGATTGTTTTGCAGGTACACTCCTAACTAAGAATTTATTGCATTTGTTATTGTTATCTTACATATAAATATTTTTATGTTTTTAAAGTTAGATAATTAAGAAAAGTTAAAGTCAGACAACTGGCCACTCCATTATTGTTCCAACACAGCAAATCAGAAAGTAATTATTAGGCTGACCTCTTACCTCACTCTGATAAAAGTTTGCTAACCTTACTAGTGACTCTGTAGATAACATTTAAAAGTGGCAGAACCCAGTTGGTTGATACCTTGACATTGAGAGGGGTGGTGAGTGGGTTTATGGTTTGGGAGATTACATTTTTTGAGTCAATTATGAAGGTTTGCTGTTTTACACTACCCCTCAGTGGTAGGAAGAAAAAAATAACTTGTTTTTTAATATTCCTACTTATCCTTCCTCTCAGTTTGTAGCACTGTCTCTGTATAGACGTTCCTCTCCTTGAACCACCACTTCTTTACAGGATTAGGAATGCATCTTTCCCCTTTATGTATTTCTGTGACATTTCTTCCCTACCTAGGATACAGAATTTTTCACTGTGATATTGTGATCTGTTGTTCACTTATCTATCTTCCCCATCTTAGGCTAACTCTTTAAGCATAGGGATTATGTCTTATTCATCCCTGCCTCCAGAGTACTCAGAACTCAGAACAAAGCTGCCCCATAAATGCTTAATGAATGTCTGAGAAACCGGGTCCCACATGGAGAGTCAGGCACCGGAGGAAGTGTCCAAAATCTGAGAAGTGGTCTTGCCACTGGCCAATCACCAGCTGCCTCCCTATGCATCCAGCACTTGCTGGTTGTAGATGCTGCCACCCAGCTTGCCCAGTCATGTGGGCTCTGCAATAAAGAGAAATACAGCTTTGTTCTGAACAGACTGTTTGTCCTCATTTTATTTCCTGGACCATTTGTTAGTCTCCTTCCCTTCCCTTATTCTGGATCTCAAGGTTTTGGACTGCAGACCCAGGTGGCACAGATCCAAACTTCCCTTTTCTCAGATATGCAGCAGATGTTCCTTTGGAAGGCAGTGGCAAAAGAAGCAGATGGAAAATTAAATAGATAACAAGCTGGAAAATGTCAAAGCCTGGCCCTTTTAATTCTCAACAAATGTGTTGGTTGTGAAGGTACAAAAAGGGATATTTTGCATTCCTAATTCCAAAAAGACTGGTATGTTGGCATAAGGCATGTATTCCTTTAAGCAAAACCTGTATCTGAGAGACTAGCAAAAAGAACTCCTACTGACATAATAAAATAGTTTAAAAATGTGCAGATTATACTCAATATTCAGATTCTGCTTTTTTTTTTTTTCAAACACAGTTTAATCCTCCATGTCTATCAGAAAGGATATGGGCAAATAAAATCTAATGTTATACTTTTCAGATCCTAATAATGTTAATTCGTGTCTTGATAATTGTTAGTTACACAAATCATCAAGCGGAAATTGTGAACAAAGTAGCATTAATACTTCCAATTTTGTCTGTGGATAGCCACAGTGTAAACATTTCAATCTACATGTTTCCTTTGGTGGAGCTGGAACAGGGCTAGCATTCATTTAAGTAAAAATCCTAGCATTGAAAGCACAGTGTTTTGAATCACGTTTCTTAGAGGACTGTCTGTGCATCTTAATTATCAGATAATTTCTCAGGTAAGCAAGCTCTGCCTATCAGGTTGATGGAATTATCTGAGTTAATTAGAAAAATCAGAGCATCAGTCTTCCCTGTTTGTATCTGCCCTATTGAAAATCAATCAAGTCAATGACATTAGGATCAGTGTATTCTTGTTTATGAGGTCAGGTAACAATTACATTTAGCAGGGGGTACTGCTTCTGACTGTCTTTTGGATTAACTCCCTCCAGCTCTCACCGTTTTTGTGTGAGACATCTGAGCCGGCTTCTATAACAGGAAAAAAATAAGTTTACAAAAATAAGGTTGTCTTTTGCTCTTTTTCTACTCTACCCACAATTATTACTTTTTAAAATACTAACTAGTTATACACATTATTTATGTCCCATTTCTTTTAAATATTCTTAGGCTTTTATTTTAAATTGCACATTTGTTTTTTCAAACTGGGAGACCATTATGTCAAATTTAAGCCTTAAAAAATAGAAAAATAAAGAACTGGCTCTTAATTGTCCTAATAGTGGACAGAAGCTAATTCTGGCTAGTCTTTGTAAACATTAGATGGCAAAACAAGAAATTATAATTATTTCAGACTACAGATTCTCAAGGATTAAGGGAATGATAAGATTCTCAGCTTAGTGAAAATTTTAGTTTTGGATTAAATATTATTAAATGACCAATAAATTGAAATAACTTCTGAGCCCTATCTTAACCACTTATTCTGTAGTTTGAAATAAGAAAATACTTTACAGATGAGTTTATTATGACCTTAACATCGACA